TAAACACAACGGACACATCACAATCCCAATAGCCCTGTACACATAGCTAACACATCACCATTCCAATAGCCCTGTACACATAGCTAACACATCACAATCCCAATAGCCTTGTACACATAGCAAACACATCACTATCCCAATAGCCCTGTACACATAGCTAACACATCACAATCCCAATAGCCCTGTACACATAGCTAACACATCACCATTCCAATAGCCCTGTACACATAGCTAACACATCACTATCCCAATAGCCCTGTACACATAGCTAACACATCACAATCCCAATAGCCTTGTACACATAGCAAACACATCACTATCCCAATAGCCCTGTGCACATAGCTAACACATCACCATTCCAATAGCCCTGTACACATAGCTAACACATCACAATCCCAATAGCCCTGTACACATAGCTAACACATCACCATTCCAATAGCCCTATACACATAGCTAACACATCGCCAACCCATTAGCAGGTTTTATTAAAATGTTTATTGAGGAAAGCTGTACCTTGCATCCAGATGTCGTTGTTTCTTCTGAAAATCTGTCTGGACACCTCAAAGCCTGGGTAGCTCGTTGTAAAGTGCCATCAAGTAAATTAAGCAGCATTTCAAACATTTTATGTACTCCCATTTGTTTCAAAGACTTGTCCACAAATGGTCGGTAAATCCTTGTACCAAAGATGTATCTACCAATATTACTTCTTCCATCATATCTTGTGCGACTTTCCTTCAAGGGTGTACTTGTACTAGAAGGTGTAACATCAAACTTATCTGTTCCCTGTGTTACCCCATCCATATCAAATATACAAAGATCATCAGTGTTGCCAGTCTTCAATAAAGGATTAGAAATTTCACATTCTAACCCTGGCCAGACAAGATCATCAATATTATCTACTCCAAGTACTTTTGCCATTAATTTTAATTTCTGATTCATACCTTTGGTTATATTCAGCCAAACACAAATGGTTTCAATACGTTTGGTGAATTCTTCACTTCCATACAAAGTACTGTCTCTCATGAGAGCTTTTAGGTTTGGATATAATCGTTCCACATCTTCTAATTTGTTCATAAGTACTGTAACATGTAGTAATGCTTCTCTTTGTTTTAAGATATCATTTGTACTAATTAAATTGAAAGGAGTAAATGGGACTGAAGGATAAGTCTCTTCGTCAGATGTTTCTCTCTTATTACAAAACACCATGGCGGTGCTTACATTAATTTCAGATGCACAAATAGAAGAACATTTGGCAGAGTATGCGAGACTTGACATAGGAACCACAGAAGATGTAGATATAGTAAATTTAACTATGGTGTCAGTTGCTAGAGTAGTTGCTATTGATGGTACTCTGAAATTCATCACCTCATCCAAGATATTTGAAACTTCTTGTCTTTTGGAATACAAGTACTTATCTTGTTCTTGCATGGTTCTATCAGCTTGCCATGCTTGTAATGCTAACCAGAGTACTTCAATCCATCGTGTTTGCCACATATGATGTTCGCTTATCTGTTGATTTGTGGATACATGTACAAAATGTTCTTCTGATTTAACACTCCCCATCTTGATCAAGAGTGAAAAAGTCTTACAAAACTCAATCCTATCAGGAGAACACTCCTCCACTGTTCTGGAAATTTGTCTTTTGGTAAGTGAATGTTCTGTTGAACTTACTGGCAAACAGTTCAATGTCATAAATCGATTTGGTGAGTCTACTTTGGGTATTGGAGCTGACAACAAATCATGACGATGGTCCTCTAGTGAAGAAGCACTATGTTTGATATCTCTTTGATGGACTCTTTCCATTCTTGTTAGTTTTTTATTTCTTTTGATTCCTTGACTAGATTTACTATCAAGAAATGGTTCATGAACAATGTCAAATTCTTTGTCAAGTTGATGACATTCATCTTTTGAAGATGAGCATTGTTGCTTCCTCTGCTGGGTTTGATCTCTGTATGTCATTCTTATTGTCTTTGAATTCCCAGTGTATCTGTTCCGTGATGATTGTTTTTTTAGTTGCCTATGATCTACAGGTGGTGTAGTCCCATATACATCATCTTCAATATCACTACAGCATTCCCCTTGAACCACAAATCAGACATAGTAATAACAAATTCATAAAATATATAGACTGTTGAAGACTAAATCATGACAATTGGAAATATAAACCTTGTAGTATAGGATCGAGGTGCGCATGCGCGAGTAGGGCTATCATCGTAACCGATCGGCTCCACCAAATAGAATAAGAAATACAAGATTTAGCTCACAATATCAACCAAAAGTACGTCATGGCGAGTAATAAAGTCGGTGTGAAAGGTAAAGACAGGAAAGTAGACCAGATGCTGAATGGATCTACAAGATCAACGAGGAGGACGACACCAGACAGAAATGAAAACCAAGATGGCGCCGAGCACATGAATGAATCGCCCGAAATCAAAAAGTTAATGAATCTCCCGACCGATCAGAAAATATCGATCATTTTAAAGAAAATTCTCGAAGTACAGACAGAGGTAGTAAAGATTGCACCGCTTGCAAGGAAAATAGAAGAAATGGAAGAAAGGGTGTGTGATATCGAAACCTCACTTGAAAATGCTCACGTGAAAATTGAAGAAGTCATAGCGAACACTACGACGAAAAGAGAAATGACAGAAAT